TCTAACACTTATTGTTGTTTGTATTCTTGATAGCTGCCATTCTGCCTGAAGTGAGATGAAATCTTAGTTTTGATTTGCATTTCTCTAATTTCTAGAGATGTTGAACATTTTTTCAATTGTTTGTATATTCTCTTCTGAGAGGTGTCTGTTCAGTTCCATGGCCTATTTATTGATTCAGTTATTTGTTTTTTTGGTGTTAAGGTTTTTGAGTGCTTTCTATATCCTAGAGATTAGTGCTCTATCTGATGTGCTTGTGGTATAAAGATTTGCTCCCATTCTGTAGGCTCTCTATTCACCTCACTGTTTCTTTTGCTGAGAAGAAGCTTTTTAGTTTGAATCCATCCCATTTTTTGATTCTTGGTTTTAATTCTTGTGCTACTGGAGTTTTATTAAGAAAGTTGGGGCCTAATCCGACATGATGGAGATTTGGGCCTACTTTTTCTTCCACTTGGTGCAAGATCTCTGGTTTAATTCCTATGTTCTTGATACACTTTGATTTGCATGGTGAGAGATAGGGGTTCAATTTCATTTTGTTACATGTGGATTTCCAGTTTTCCCAGCACCATTTGTTGAAGAGGCTATCTTTTCTCCAGTGTACGTTTTGGTGCCTTTGTCTAATAACGATAACTGAAGTTATTTGGGTTAGACTCTATGTCCTCTATTCTGTACCATTGGTCTACATGTCTATTTTGGTGCCAATACCATGCTGTTTTAGTTACTATTGCTCTGTAGTATAGTTTTTGTTCTGGTATAGTAATGCCACCAGCTTTACTCTTCTTGCTAAGGATTGCTTTGGCTATTCTGGGTTTCTTATTTTTCCAGATGAATTTCATGATTGCTTTTTCTATTTCTATAAGGAATGCCATTGGGATTTTGATTGGAATTGCATTGAATATAGCGCTTTTGTTAGTATGGTCATTTTGACAATATTAATTCTGCCTATCCAAGAACAAGGTAGAACTTTCCATCTTCTAAGGTCTTCTTTAATTTCTTTCTTTAGCAAGTTGTAGTTTTCATTGTAGAAGTTTTTTGCCTCTTTTGTTAAATTTATTCCCAAGTATTTTATTTTTTGAGGATATTGTAAGTGGGGTGATTTTCCTAGTTTCACTTTCAGTGGATTTGTCACTGATGCACAGAAATGCCTTTGATTTATGGGTGTTGATTTTATATCCAGCTACTTTGCTGAATTCATTTATTAGTTCTAATTTCTGATGAAATGTTTTGGGTCTTCTAGGTATAGAATCATATTGTCTGCAAATAGTGATAATTTGAGTTTTTTTTCCTATCTGTATCCCTTTAATTTCTTTATCTAATTGCTCTGGCTAGAGTTTCAAGAACTATGTTAAATAGAAGTGGTGATGGATGGCATCCCTGTTTTATTCCAGTTTTTAGAGGGAATGCTTTCAATTTTTCTCCATTTAAAATGATGTTGGCTTGGAGCTTAGCATAGATAGCCTTTACAATGTTGAGGTATGTTCCTGTTATCCCTAGTTTTTTCAAGTGTTCTGAACATGAAGGGGTGGTGTATTTTATCAAATGCTTTCTCAGAATCTGTTGAGATGATCATATGATTTTTATCTTTGAGTCTATTGATATGATGAATTACATTTATTGATTTTCATATGTTAAACCAACCTTGTATTCCTGGGATGAATCCTACTTGATCGTGTTGCACTATCTTTTTGATATGTTTTTGTAATTGATTTGCCAGAATTTTATTGAGAATTTTTGCATCTATATTTATTAGAGATATTGGTCTGAAGTTTTCTTTCTTTGATGTGTCTTTGTCTGGTTTTGGAATCAGGGTGATATTGGCCTCATAGAATTTCCCTCTTTTTCTATTTCATGAAATAATTTGAGAAGTATTGGTGTTAGTTCTTCTTTAAAGGTCTTGTAGAACTCAGTGGTGTATCCATCCAGTTCTGGGCTTTTCTTGTTTGGTAGACTTCTGATGGCATCCTCTATTTCCTTGCTTGAAATTGATCTGTTTAAATTGTGTATATCATCCTGATTTAGTTTAGGCCTATCATATGCTGCTAGAAATTTGTTGATATCTTTTATTTTATTGGAGTAAAAATTTTAAAATAATTTCTGATAATCTTCTGTATTTCTGTAGTGTCCATGATAATATTTCCTTTTTCATCATGGATGTTAGTAATTTGAGTTTTCTCTCTCTTGCTCTGCATTAGCATGGCTAATGGTTTATCAATTTTATTTATTTTTTTTTCGAAGAACCAACTTTTTGTTTTTGTCATTTTTTTCAATTGTTTTTTTAATTTCAGTTTCATTGACTTCCACTCGAATTTTAATTATTTCCTCTCTCCTACTGCTTTTGGGGTTGATTTGTTCTTCTCTTTCTAGGGCTTTGAGATGTAATGTTAGGTCATTTATTTGTTGACTTTTTCTTCTTTGAAGGAATGAACTCCATGCAATGAACTTTCCTCTTAGCACTGCCTTCATTGTTTCCCAAATATTTGATATATCAGTGTTCTCATTTACTTCTAAGAATATTTTCATCTCCTCCTTGATATCTTTTGCAACCCATTGTTCATTCAATAGCATATTATTTAGTATCCAGGTGTTGGAGTGATTTTATTTTTTATTTTATTATTGATTTATAATTTTATCCCATTGTTGTCTAATAGAATGCAGAGTAGTATCTACTTTTCTGTATTTACTAAGATTTTCTTTGTGACATAACATATGGTCTATTTTAGGGAAGGATCCATGTGCTGCTGAGAAGAAAGCATATTTTCTTGTTGATAGATAATATACTCTATGTCAGTTAAATCTAAGTTATTGATTGTATTATTGAGTTCTATAGTTTCTTTGTTTAGCTTTTGTTTGGTAGATCTATTGGTGAAAAAGGTGTGTTACAGTCACCCAGAATTATTATGTTGTGATCTATTTGACTCTTGAACTTGAGAAGAGTTTGACTGATGAATGTAGATGCTCCATTGTTTGGGGCATATATATTTATAACTGTTATGTTTGTTGATGTATGATTCTGTTAAGCAGTATGAAATGTCCCTCTTTATCCCTTTAGATTAACTTTGGCTTGAAGTCTACTTTATTTGATATGAGGATGGAAATCCCTGCTTGCTTACGTAGGCCATATGAATGGTATATTTTATCCCAACCTTTCACCTTTAGTCTGTGGGCATCTTTTCCTATGAGATGAGTCTCTTGAAGGCAGCATATTGTTGGGTCTTTTTAAAAAATCCAATCTACAAGCCTATGTCTTTTGATTGGTGAGTTTAAGCCATTAACATTTAAGGTTATTATTGAGATATGTGAGATATGATTTCTATTACCAGTCTTTTTAAAATTTTTGGTATTTAGCTTGATTTGGTTTCTCCTTTTGTTGGATTTTCTTTTCTTTTTTTTAAAGAGAGAGTGAGAGAGAGAGAGAGAGATTTTTTTTTGATATTTATTTTTTAGTTTTCAGTGGACACAACATCTTTGTTTGTATGTGGTGCTAAGGATCGAACCCAGGCTGCACACTGCCAGGCGAGCACGCTACCGCTTGAGCCACATCCCCAGCCCAAGCTTTTCTTTTTTTTAATATTTATTTTTTAGTTATCGTTGGACACAATATCTTCATTTTATTTTATTTTATGTGGTGCTGAGGATCAAACCCAGGGCCTTGCAAGTGCTAGTCAAGCATTCTACCGCTGAGCCACAATCCCAGCCCCTTGTTGGCTTTTCTTTTAATGAAGTTCTTTCCTTTGCAGACTTTCATTGTTGTTTTTCATTTCTTCCTCGTGGATTGCCAAGAATGTTCTGTAGTGCAGGCTTTCTTGCTGTAAATTCTTTTAGTTTTTGTCTGTCATAGAAGGTTTTTAGTTCATCACCAAATTTGAAGCTTAATTTTGCTGTATATAATATTCTTGGTTGGCATCTATTGTCTTTTAGAGCTCGGTATATGTTGTTCCAGGATTTCCTAGCTTTGAGAGTCTGAGTTGAAAAATCTGCTGAGATCCAAATTGATCTTCCCTTATAGGTAATATGATTTTTCTGTCTTGTGGCTTTTAAAATTCTATCCTCATTCTGTTTGCTAGGCATTTTCATTATAATGTATCTTGGTGTAGATCTGTTGTAATTTTGTACATTTAGTGTCCTATAGGCCTCTTGTATTTGATTTTTCCAATTCATTCTTCATGCTTGGGAATTTTCTGATATCATTTCATTGAATAGATTGTGCATTCCTTTGGTTTGAATCTCTGAACCTAATCAATCTTAAATTTGCTTTTTTGATGGTATCCCATAATTCTTGGATATTCTATTTGTGGTTTCTTATATTCTCCACTGTGAGATCAACCTTATTTTCAAGATTTATATTTTGTCTTCATTGTTTGAGGTTCTGTCTTCCAAGTTTGAGTTTTTTATTTGGCTTATTGTTTCTTTCATTTTGAGGATTTCTGTTTTTTGTTTGTTTGTTTTTTTAGTATCTCTTTCTCTTGCAGGTAATCTCTTGCAACCTGTATTTGCTCTCTTGTCTCTTTGTTGGTGTGATCGATGGTCACCTGAATTTGTTCTCTATTTCTTTGTTGGAGTGATTGATTTTTGCCTGTATCTGCTCATAAGTAGGTCATTCTTTAATTCCCAAATCATTTTAGTTATGTATATTCTGAACTCCTTCTCTGCCATTTTACCTACTTCACTATCTATGGATTCTATTGTTGTAGTGTCTTGGTTTGTTTGGGTCACTTTCCTCCCTTGTTTTTTCATGATGTCTATGTGTCTTCCTCTCTTGCAAGTGTAGATCTGAGGTATTATAGCTTCTGCCCTTTTGTCTTATAGTGTGCCTACAGGTTATCAAATACCTCACTTTTAAGGGAGAGATCAATATTATAGCATTCAAAGTACCCAATGTGCAGCCATATATAAGTTAGCTTCTATTTTTACATTTACAGTTTTGTTACTATAAACAGAAATGATGAGTTTGGTTATCTTCAACCATTTAATCAATAGGTTTGTGTAATGGTTTACAGTTTTTGATGGTGGAAGGGGAGATTGGGGAGCTGGCTGAGATGTTTATGAGGTAGGATGTGAGAATATAGAGGTATTGATGAGAGGATAATCATAGAAAGTTGGCTGATAGTAGGAGAAACAAGAGATAGGCAACCCTATGCAAGACTCCCTATTACCTCAGCAACAGGGATAACTGTTAGCAACCCTAGTAGAGAAACCTCTGGTGTAGCCAGGCCACAGGGACCTTGGTGATGTCTTACTGGGTCCTTATTGTTATCACTTGATAGAAGCAGTGATATCCCAGTGCGGGGTGGCTCTCAGCATGGGCATGGGGGGTGGAATTCTGGGCTGTGGTGGCTGAATTAGTTTTTTTCTAAACTTCTTGTTTTCAGTCTAGTCTACTGTGAAACCTACCTAGTAACTTGTTTAATTCAATTTGTTTTTCTTTCCAGGATCTTTCTTTTAAAAATTTAACTACTCAGATCAAAACAGCAGAATAGTAACAGACTGAAATTTCCAGTTCCCCTGCAGTTATGTATTACAACAGCAGTGGGGAGGGTGACAGGGAATACACTGAGGTTCAGTTTTTTAGACTGACAGAGACTTTGTGAGACTCGGAGACTCTGGGTACTGGAATAGAGAGCAAGAATGAGCTCATCAATTCCAAGTCTGCCCTTGTCCTTCTGGCTCAGGGTGGGGCAGAGGAATGACATGAAGGGAAAGAAAGTTATAAAAATTGCTTAGTAAACAGTGGTAGAAGAGAAAACCAGATTGAATTTTGCTGATACAGAAACCATACAGAGGGCTGATGAGATGAAAAGTGTTCTGCTTCTCTTAACTAGTCAGTGGAGAGCTGTAGTGGGAAGCCATTTTGTGAAGATCGTGCCTAAACTTACATCTTTGGAAAAGACAATTTTTTTTTTATCTCTTCTGGAGATAGCATCAAATATTGTCATGGAGGATCACTTTTGAAGCAAGTTGTCTTATACAATGAGTTAGCTGTGAATCAAAGGCCATCAAAATCTACCACCTACCAGAGCTGGGAATGGAGGAGGGTGGTGGTGCTTTTTAACATTGAAATCTTGAGATCTTCCTGGGTATACACATACACCTGTCACCCATGCAAGGGAAGGATATCCCTGCTAGACCAAGAATATTCTGGCACTATCACCTCTGCTACAGTAGGAGTTCTCTTGTGCCTGGGCCCATGGTGGAGCTCCAAGGACCACTGTAACAGCACCAGAGAAGGAGGGAAATAAGGGCTGTGTTAATAGCCTTGAGATTGCAGCTCTTCTCATGAGTACAAAAAAGCAGCTGCCCATTCTATAGAGGAATCTGGGAACCTGCTGCAGACCTTAAGAATATGTGCCCTCTGTTCCACCAGAGAACACACCACCTTCTGGTCTCATAGTGCTAACAGCTACACATGCAAGCTGGAGTCTGGCAAGGTGAAGACTTAAAATTGACAAGCTCTGGAGCTTATACATATATAATGCCCTGCCCCAGCACAGAGCCAGTTGTCGGTTGACATCTCCATATGTCCAAAGATAACTCAGAGGACATGGCACTAAATCTTGAAAATTTTCCATACCTCCAACACCTGATGCATTCCAAATGTGGAAGTCCCAGAAAGAAGTCCCTCCACCTTAAAAAAACTCAATAAGAAAAAATTTTAGTATTTTTAATGTAGTTGATTTCACTGGTATTACTTTCTCTATTGGCTTCTTTTACTGCTCATTATTTGTTATTGCATACTGATATATAATTTAATGTGGTTTTTCTTTTTTTTCTTTTAAAAATTAGTTCATTAATTGGATTTATTCTCTCCACCTTTTCTCTTTTCATTCTTACATTATCCTTCTGTTTTGTTTCTTTTCCTCTTTTTTCCCGCCTACCTTCTTCTTTATTGATTGCTTATCCTGCTTTCCTTTTTTAAAAAAATATTTATTTTTAGTTACAATTGGACACAATACCTTTATTATAAATAATTTTTATGTGGTGCTGAGGATTGAACCCAGGGCCTCACATGTGCTAAGTGAGTACTCTACTGCTGAACCACAACCCCAGCCCTCTGCTTCCCCCCTTTTTAATTGTTCTATATAGTTTAATATTAAGTTTACATTATTTTGTAGTGGGGATTGAACCCAGGGCCTGTACCACTGAACCACACATCTAGCCCTTTTGAAGACAGGATTTTGCTAAGTTGCCCAGGCTGGACTTGAACTTGAGATCCTCCTACCTCAGTCTTTCAAGTAGATGGAATTACAGGCATGTGTCACCATGCTCATCCATTTTTATATTCTTTATTGCCTAATTTTCAGCCTCATCTATATTACTATTCCCTGTTTTTCTCTTTGATAAGCAGAGTTATAGAGAACAATTTCAATAGGTTTTTATTATAGGTTAGTATTTGCTGTCATCACTGCTACTGGTGATGGTTACTGGGTAATTCTTTCCTCTCAAAGTGGCTCTGGGATGTAATCTCAGTGTAGTTTTGATTTGCATTTCCCTGATTGATTGGAAGGTTGAATATTTTTGTAGGGCTTGGAATTGAACTCCAGGCCTTTTACATGTGCTCTCACTGAGTTACACCCTCAGCCAGTTTTCTTTTCTAATTTAGTGTGTAACAATGTTTTCCTTTTAAGAAATATTTAGTCAATTTACAGTGAATATAGCTACTAATGTTTAGTGTTAAAACAACTATTTTTAAAACATTAAATTTTTGTGTTCCTAATTTATTTTTTCTTGAGTTATTTTTAAACAGCTCCATTTCCTCCTTCATTGTCTTGGTAGTTTTATACTCTTTCACAGTTCTTTACTCATTACTGTAGATTCTATAGAGAGTACAACATACATCCTGCTCTTTCTTTTCTTTCATTTTTGACACTGGTGATTGAATCCAGGGCCTTGCACATGTTAGGCAAGTGCTCTCACTGAGCGACATCCAAAGCCCCTTTTACATACTTCTAATTTTGAGGCAGGATCTTACTAAATTGCCCAGGCTGGCTTCAAACTTGTGATGCTTCTGTCTTAGCCTCCTCAGTCATTAGGATTATAGACGTGTGCTACCACTCTCAGCAGTTGATCTATTTTCAATTAATTTTTATATACGGTGTGAGCTTTATGTTGAGGTTAGTTTTTAGCATATGAAAGTCCAAATGTTCCAGTAGCACTTGTTGAAAGACTGCTTTATCTGCTTGATTGCCTTTATACCTTTGTCAGAAATCAATTGGCTATATTGTGTAGATATATTTTCTGAATGATGACCCTGTTGTAGGCATTAGCAAAGTGCTTTACCCAGATTCAATTCACCAGCCTGGTGTAGACAGCCATCACCAAGGCCTAGGTATCTCTGGTTGCAGCCCAGAGATTGTCATGAAAGAGTGAGGCAGAAGCATGATAAAGGTAGTGTGGTGCTGTGGCAGGTTCCTGCAAATAGGAACTCTGGCTTCTCTCCTGGCTCTATTATTAACTAGCTGAGGGGCCTTAAGCAAGTTCCTTCTCTTCTGTGAGCCTATGTGCACTCACCTATAACATGTAGCCTTAAACTAGACTTTGTCTATGATCTCACTGATTTTTAACATTTGTATTCATGAGATCATAACTGCCTCCTGTCTTGGGGTGTTCCTTAGTTAATGGGGGTATAGAGTGTTGAAGACCCAATAGCTGAAGCATAAGAAAGCAGAGTTGAGGGGATTTACCCGGTTCTCTGGGGACTTAAGGGGGGTATTAGACTATGGACTGCAAACCAACAAGTTATGGAATGTCTCTGAATTCAAACTTTTTGTTTTTTTAGGTAAACATGTAGAAACAAGAAGATTTTTGCATATAAATATGTTTCCTTCTTCACTGAAAAGGATTTTAAAATGGGGTCACATAGGGAAACTCCGAGTGACCACTGTTCTTTTTATATGGAACTTATAGGGATGCATGGACTATACTGAAAGGGCTTTCCAGAGGCCATGTATCAGGGATCTGAGGACCAGGGTAGAGCCTGTGGTTCCCCCACCTTCTGTTCCAACAATCGCTGCAATTTTGAGGGTCAAAAGCTGGGAGAGAAAGCTTGAAGCAGGGCTTTTGCCTTTCCCCTGGAGGATTTGGTCCCTCCTGAGTAACCAAGGAACTCCTCTGTCAGCAGGCATCTGGCTTGGTACTTTGAACTTCCTTCTGTGGCCCCTGCTGGTATAGCACGTGGCACCCCAGAACTCTGCCTCAAGAAGGGAGGCACTGGCAGAATTACAACAAAGGACCCCTTGAATTTGGGGAAACTTAAATTTGTAGGGGACAAAGGCTGCAAGAAAGGTATTACAAAGTTCTCCTCTCCCTGCAGATCGAGGAGATTGTGGAAGGCATCCTTGAAAGGCTCAACTCTCAGCTGGAGCCCAGCACAAAGGAGGAAACCCTACAGGCCATAGGCTCACTGGCAGGTAGCAACATCCACACCGTGGTGCTCATGCTGCTCAACAAACCCCTGCCTTGGGGTAGGTACCTCTCCACCATCCAGGGGCACAGTCTTCTGCTCAGTAGATCTTCTCCCCATCTACCTCAAACACAACAAAAATCATCACCTAGGGTGCTTTCTGTCTCCCTCCTTTCTGTTTGATGCAAGTCAAGCCTCATCTGTATGTTCTCTGGCCTCTTCCTCTTGGGTCTCACTCCCTCTAGTCGCTGAGAACTGGTTCTTCATGGGCCTGAGAACAGATTAATCCTAGGGGCATGATCACCAGGGCCTGTGATATAGCTTTCCCTGAATCTTACAAAATCCAACTGGCACCCAGCGAAAGATGACAATCAGTGTCCTGCAGCTGCTCCTGTGCATCTCAGAGAAGAACCAACCCAGAGGAGAACAGAAGGAGATGGCCTTCTAGCCTGTGGCAATCAGTACAAAAGAGGGGAGGACTTAGAGTTCTAGGAACCTGTGGGCAGAGCTGAGGACCCAAGGGCTTGGCCTGAATGGCCAAACATGCTTTGGGTAGGAGCAAAGAGGAGAGTGTTAACCTGGAATCATTGATGCTGTACATCAGATTAGCACTTCAGCCTCCTTTTTGTACCAAGGACTGCAGAAAGGCAGAGGTCAGTCACATTTTATGGACAAGGAAATTGACATGCAAGGTTAAAAAGCTTTTTCCAGGTCTGGGATCATTTACTGGAATGCTGCTGTGCGGATGTCAGATAAGGGATGGGAGTCAGGAATTTTGGTACTTGGGATAGGGGTAGAAAAATTTTGTTCCCATATCATCTGCTGAGTAGGTTCCCTTTCCATTCCTTGCTTCATTTCTGCCTATTTCCTTTTCTCTCCCTTTCTCCCTTCTTTCTTCTGTATCTCTCTCCTTCCCTTCTTTTCTCTCAACCTTCCTTCCTTTCTCCCACTCTCTTTTCTTTTTATGGAAATGGGGTTTTGCTTTGTTATTCCTCATTGCCCTGTACTCCTAGATTCAAGTGATCTCCTGCTTCAGCCTCCTGAGTACCTGGGACTATGGTATGTGCCACCACATACAACCAGCCCCCCCCCTTTTCTTTTTCTTTTTTTGGTGCTAGTTATTGAACTTAGGGGTACTTAACCACTGAGTCACTTCCCCAGCCCATTTAAATTTTTTAAAATTTAGAGACAAGTTCTCACTGAATTGTTTAGGGCTTGGCTAAGTAGCTAAGGCTGGCTTTGAATTTGTAATCTTCCTGCCTCAACCTCCTGAGCTGCTAGAATTACAGGCATGTTCCACTACATCTGGCCCATTTCATTTTTTAATGTCAAGTGAGCAGAAGAGAAAGCCAATTGCATGTGTGTGGGATCTGCTTTCCCTCAGGAGAAGGTTTTGGTTTTCAGCCTGGGGGGTGTTTGTTTCCTATAAGGCTGAGTTAGAGTGTGCTGTGGCCAGTAGGCAATGGGAATGTGGGCCAGGGTGGGCTCTCACCCTGGGCTGTCAGTGTGGGGTTGTGGTCTAAACTCAATCATTCTGCCCTCCCCCCTCTCAGATAGCATGTTTTTTATATGAGGTGCTCTCAGGACTCCTGTGCCAGAAGGCTGTTCAGGATCTTTAACCACAGTTGTTGCTGTCTCTGCTGTGCCACCCCTACTGAGTGACTGAGCAATGTGCTTCCCAAAAGATGGTGGTTTATACTAAGAGCAAGCCCTTTGACCCCACTATGTAAGCCTAACTTCCAGATGATGGAATAATGGAACTAGTTAATTCCTGAGAACTGTTTGGGTGGGAGGAAGAGAGACGAGAGGTAGCCATAGATGTGGGTACTGGAGCATGGACTCCTGTACTGATTCATACAACACTTCATGCCTATTGTGAAAAGATTCAGTTTAGATGGCATTTTCTTCATATGAGTTGGACCATTTCAGTCAGTCTGGTTAGACCCTGTCTTGGCTTTGTCACCAATTGTGCCATCTTGTACAAGTCACCTCTAGAATTCAGTTTCCTCATATGTAAAATGGGGGTTGAACTCCTGAATAAATTGTTTTCATACTTTTTGCTTTAACCTCATAATATTCAAATAAAGCCAAGAAATATGAGAAATTCTGAATTGTTAGATGTAGAGGTGGGGAGAGATTCTAACCCTGCTTCTATGTTCTTATGAGCAGAATTTGAGAACTCTATAGTCCAGAATCTATATAGTCTCTTTCACAGGACTCCGTGGCTGGATGAGGCCCACATTGTTGGGGTGAGTGGATAAGCAATTGGAATTGGGTTCCATAGAACCATGAATTAATTTTTAGTGGTACTGAGGACTGACCCCAGGTCCTTATGCATGCTAGGCAAGTGCTCTGCCCCTGAGCTACATCTCTAGCCTGAGCCATGAATTATTGTCAGCAGGAAAGTAAAACCTAGCAACCTGCGCTAAGAATTGTCTCTTAACTTGCCAATGGAGAGTTTTAATCTGGGGCATTCATCGTCCCTCTATCTGTCCCTTCATTTTCACAAACTCAATGGTGGCCTTCAGTTGTGCCCTGAAAGTAGTAAAGTTGATATGCATAGTGGCAGTGTATGATGAGTTGGTGTTCTATGCCTATGAGCATCACTGCTGGAACCTTCTGCCCAAACCATATATTACTATGTAGGGATCATGGATCTGACAACGTAGAACCATTTCTCTAACATCCCTGCTACCACTCGACCCCTGACCCAAATCTTCCAGGTCTCAATACTCAACTACAGTAACCTTTGACCTTCTCTTCCCCATCTCCCAGCCCTCTGGTCTCCTGATTCCTTAGCCCTTGTGTTTTCTCTGCTTTGTGCACAATGGTTCTGGCCACTTTCTCCAGCAACTCCTCTGACTTCTTTTGTCCTCTCTGAGTGGCATTGTGAAGAACTGTGAACTCTTTATCTTGCACTAGATGCTGAACTACTTCAGGTGCCTGCTCAATTGCTTAGATGATCATCAGAAGATCATAACCAGGAACTTCTATGTGCAGGTGAAAGCTGGGGGGATACCAACAGCTCCAGTCAATTATTTCCCATAATGGTGGGACTATGCACCAGAATGTTACATAATTTTCCCCAGAAAGAGAAAATAATAGAATTAAGCCATTGAAAATGGGGTTCCCCTCCCTGTTACTTCAGGGGCCTGGTTAAAGGGAACATGGAAAGTCTGAGGAGGAAGTTAGCAGATCTAATATGATTCAACAATCCTAACATCTGGCTCAAAATTGCAACCTCATCTGCATCATCCCCCAAATTCTTATCCTTAATCTCCATTCCATGTACAGATCAGCCACTGGTCTAAAGTGGACACAGTCCTCACCTTAGTACAGGGCTGGAGGGCATGTGTGGGGAGTACCTGGTACCCATGAGCTTTTCTCCATCTATAGCTGTAATTTCTTTGTCTGCAAAGCTCCTCTGGCACTCATAAGTGGTACAGACATTGGGGCAAGACTTTGTGGGTGATCTGATCAGGTTGATCAAGCAGCCTAACCTCATCATGAAGGAAATCGGTCTGCAAGGAATCAGTAACCTAGTACTACACCCAGTATGTATGAGCCAGGGGGACCCAGGGAATCCATTGGTAGTCCCTAAAGCCTTTGATCTACCTCTGTTGGGTTAGCTGCTTAGGCCTTTGTGAATTTGCCAGCCCCTCACCCCAGGGCATTAGAATATGTTGTTTTAGGACTTCCATCTACTTGTCCTCAAGCTGCCCCCAGCCCCCAAAGCTTCTCTTTTCATTCCTTCCAAATAACTTCTAGATTTCCCAAGGTTGATGTATTTTAGGCACTATCTGTTTTCTAAAAACTGCCTACAAATTATTGTGTGATCCCCAGGGTGAGGGGTGACCTCTGAAATCTTTCAAATAGTCAGACACTCTTAAGAGCCTGGTTCCATTTTTGAGAGACTTTCATTCTTGTGAGTGGCAGTGTAGGCAGTGAGGGGTTTGCTGAACATCAGCTACCATGGGTAGGGGGATGACACCAAGGTGGTCTTTCTCAACATCTCTAAGCAACTGCATCCACTCATCAATGATGTATGGGTCTGAGTTCCTGGATCAGCTGGGAACAATATGGGCTGGGACTGAATATGAACCTTGGAAGCTGAACTAAAGATATTGGGTCTGGGCTCAGGGATGATGGAACATTGAGCTAACGAGGGGCAGAGAAAAGGAGGTTTGACATAGAACGTACCCCAAATGTATTCCCTACCCCATACAACTTTCCACTTATTCTCTCACCAGATGTTCCCCAAAGTAGCCACTGGACCAAAAAGACAAATGTAGCCTACTGATAATTAGTTGGTTCTGAGTCCCAGGGTCTCCTGCAGAGTCCATTCATGACATGAAGGGTGGAGAGAGGATGATGACCCTGCTTTCCTCCCAAATAATACAGGGTCCTTAGAATGCTTGTATTCTTGTGGCAAAAGAAATTTGAGACTCAGAAATTTCAACTTATCAGACAAAAAGCAATCCTCCCCACCTGTCATCCTCCTTATAGGTCATAGAACTATAGAGCCAGAAGGGACTTTACATCCCTGAGATAGATACATGCTGATAGGTACTCCTGTTATGGCATTTATAACTTTTTCAATTTATGAATGTTGGATTTGAATTATGCATTTGTTTTATCTCCTTTATGACCCTGGATATCCCATAATGGACTTTTTAAAAATTCAGAATGTATACTTGACTTAACAGAGCCCTATGATATCTTTTTCCTCCAAACAGTATAAGAACCTTATAATGCCACACCCTTCCATAGTAGATATTGATATTGTCAAATATTTAGGTTCCATCTCATTTAAAATTTTTTTTTTTAATATTTATTTTTTAGTTTTCAGCGGACACAACATCTTTGTTTGTATGTGGTGCTTAGGATCGAACCCGGGCCGCATGCATGCCAGGCGAGCGCGCTACCGCTTGAGCCACATCCCCAGCCCTGGTTCCATCTCATTTTTGATGGTCCAGTTTTATACTTTTTGTCAGCGTCATCATGATTGCTATTATTTCATAAGTCAGTACTTACTTGGATTTTCTCATATGTTTACAAATT